AGGGGATGCACGGGATTATAGTGATGGCACATGGGTGACTTGGTGATGGGAAACCCACGGGGATTACAATTGAGATGGAAAAAAAATGTACAAAATGATGTAAAAATAAACTTTTGTAATAAAAAAAAAGGGGGTAACAGATACAATGTTTCATGTTCCCTACATCCTATACTAGTATCTGACAACTTGAGAAATGCATTCTCCTCTGTACCTAAGCCAGAAAATTAACATTAGCAACAACATATAGATGACCTCTGTGATTCAACATGAACTTCTATTTTAGGCAAAGTCAGAGCTGGAAACCTTGCTTCTCTCAGAAATACCGGCATCTATTATAAATTAAGGATGTATTCTAATTAATTCAAGATTATAAATGACTAATTTATGATACTATAGTTTTTTACAACAATTGACCTAACTAAATTTTTGAGATCCCAATGAGGTAATGAGTAAATTTCAGTGTGATTTGGCATTCATATATCTTGTGTACTAATGCAAGTGGTACTAAAGGCAAGGAAAGCAATGATAACTGAAATTCATATTAACCCAAAATTATAGTAAGTTTATTATATACTTCCTTTCCTTCAGTTCAATATATTTAATAGTGTGAATAAACTCCAAAACTGGCTTAAAACCATAAAGTTCTCTGTGATTCCACTCCTTTAAAGATAAGCAATAAAAATGATACACAGGGACTCTCCCTGCTGGCACAAAGGGTTAAAGCACGGCACTGTGAAGCTATTCACAGCCACTGCAGCACTAATTCCATCCTCAGTCAGGGAGATGACACCCACAAGCTATGGCTGACCTCTCCTGACCCACCAGCTGCTCCCCTCAGCAATATATTTCAGTAGATCTGCCTGTTCTGCTCCCCATTCTGTCGCTGGTGAATCCTTTCATCTGCTGCACCTCTGGCCTGGAACCCAGTTCTTGTATACATAAATAAGTAAATCTTGATACACAATGACACACAATGATGACTTGATACACAATGATGAGAACATTAAGTAAAGATTATGCACAAACAACCAATTAAGTAAACTCCTGAATAGTGAATAGTAATAAGGTTTTAAATTTAATGTATTTACCTTAACTCTTGATGATTTCCTAGATCCTTCACGAAAGGCCTGAAACAACATAGAACTCTAAGTTAGTTTTTTAAAAACTAGATATACTTTTTTAAAATTAATTGGTTCACAGAAGCTTTTTACTAAGGTCTCATAATAAAAACTTTAATAAATAGGGCCCTCCCTGGTGGTGCAGCAGATTAAAGCACTGCACTATGAAGCTGGCTACAGTCACTTTGGTGCGAGTTCAATCCAGGGCTGGGGATGTGCTGACCCAAATGGTACAGCAGACCTCTTCTGTCTTGCCTGCTGCTCCCCTCAGCAGCCTATTCTGCTCCAGAACCTCTCACTGCCCCTGCAACTCTGTCCTGTACCCAAGAGATTTATTTTTGAAATAAATCTTAAAAAAAAAATTTGATAATAACGAGTATACTCAGTCTGAGGGGAATATTTAAATAGCCATCTATTAAAATACTCAATTGTAAATAATGCAGACTGTAAGAACATGAAAATATATGTATGATATGCTTTCTTTGCAACTTCAGATTTTTTTGTGTGCTCAGTATTACAAACCTGAAAAATATTTGATAAAAGCTGAGTTAAATATACAATAATTTTCTTGATGGAATGATAAACGTTTTAGGGGTGAAAAACTCAAATTATTTAAATTCCATCAATTAGCTAGCAAGTAACATTTGAGTACTTACTTAAGTAATAAGCATTATGGTGAAGACTTTCATTTAACCAATAAATATTTAGAGAGAGTTCTCTGTCAGGTTCTGAAGTGAGATTTAAGACATAATTCCTATTCTCAATCTGACTCCCTGCCCCAATATAAACTGTATTTAGAGAAATTAACAAACATAAACAGAGTTCTTAGTACCAAGATTATTGTATTCCTTTCTGGTGTCCACCTATCTGAATACATCCCTTCTCCATAGTTCAATAACATACCTTTGTTTCTGTGTTTTACATAAAGGTTCTTTACTTTTTTTTTTCCTGCTCTCTTCTAACATACGCAAACAAATTTGGCAGTTAAATGTATCTGAATCTGTATTACTCTAGGTTTATGTTTGCTAGTCTCTTTTAGGACAGTTTGTATCTTTTATATCTTTTATGGCCAGTTCCTGGACTTTTTTCCTTCTAATTCTTGTCAAGTATTACTAATAACACAAGAGAAAAACTTTTCCTTCTTAAATAGAGTAATATTAGAAAATAAATGGGAATCCAAGAACCACGGTTTCATTTTATTTTAAATACCCAAAAGTCACTGCAGCAAGAAGATGAATCTATGCTTTAAAAAAAAAAAAAAATCTAAGCCATCTAACTTGTAATAAGGGAGATGCAAATTAAAACCATAATGAGGTATCACCTCACCCCAGTGAGAATGGCACCTCTTAAAAACAACTAGCAACAACAAATGTTGGCGAGGATATGGAGAAAAAGGAACTCTCCTGCACTGCTGGTGGGAATGCAAAGTAATACAACCACTATAGCAAACTGTCTGGAGGTTTCTCAAACTGCTAAAAATGGAGCTTCCGTATGGCCCAGCAATCCCACTCCGAGGTACCTACCCAAAAGACACAAAAAACACTGATTCAAAATGACACCTGCACCCCCATATTTATTGCTACTTTATTTACAATAGGAAAGAAATGGAATCAATCCAAATGCCCAAAAGTAGATAAATGGATTAAAAAGATGTGGTACATATGCACAGTGGAATATTATTCAGCAATCATAAAAGATAAACACATGCCTTTTGTAGCAATGTGGATGGAACTGGAAAAGATCATGCTTA